GAGTCTCTGCTTTTAGGCAGATAAAGAATTTTAGAAACTCAAATGGCTTCAGCGCAAAATAATTTTTATGCCACAGTGGTTTATCCTGGACACAATCAGGTGCAATGCACCAAAATGGCACATATTGTGAACACCTGGCTTTGCAAAATGGTATTTCAGTCAAGCTGCACAGAAAACCATTTTCTTATTACTGTGGCAGCCTATCTGTAAATTCACATTCCCCCTTATTCTGAGAAAGGTATCACACTAATGACAGGGGCATAGAGGAAGAATTGTCTTCTTTCCATGAGAAAGAATAATTCCAAGACTTGAATCATTCGTACATCAAGCATATATATAGATCTTCAGCCTGTGTGGTGTCAGGTAAATAGTCAGACACACAGCTCTGGAGTTGGAGACGGCTGGTGGGGAGACTAGATGTTTACTGAGCTGGAGAAAATGGTTCAAGGCTTGGGAGTGCATCTGGTCACTCAGACAGAGGCTGAGGATGGAAGATGACCAGGGGCAACATCACCAGCATTGTCAGTATAAAGGATAAAAGTGGGGAAATGATCAACAGAAATGGGAGGAAAACCAGGTAAGAGGCAATTCTGAAAAAAAAAGGAGAAAAGATAAGCCAGTATAAGGCATTTCTTGGGATTAAAGGAAGCTTGTTACAAGTTTGTAATCACTGGGGAAGGAGCTCTTGGAAAGGAAGAGCTGGAACATACAGAGAGAGGGGAGAGCTGGCGGGTCCTCTCTCTAGAAAGCAGGAGGGACAGTTTTCATCAGAGATGAACAAGAGGAAGGAGGGAAGATAAATCATTTAACCTCTCAAAGTAAGACTCGGTTTCTTTTCTATAAAATGAAATCATTGCACTAGGTAAGCTCTGAGGTCTTATCATCTATTTTAACATTTTAATAAATAATATAATCCCACTGAGTCCGATGTAGCTGTTTATGTAGTTTGATTTTAGAGTGGAGTTTTCAGGAGTGACACTGTTCATTATTCTTAAGGAAAGAATTGACAGACAGATTATATACTTCTTGGGACTACTGAAAGAATCCTTATATTTTAGTATTTTAAGGATATGGAGAGAAGGAGTATTGTTCAGTATCAATTATGTATTCCAGCCTGGCATGCATAACCTGAATCTAACCATGAGGAAACTACAGACAAACCCCAAAAGAGGAATGCTCTTTTGATTTTTATTTTTTTGAGGTACTGTACTCTTCAAAAAATGCCAACATCTTAAAAGTCAAAGAAAGTCTGTGGAAGTATTCCAGATTAAGGAAAATTAAATTGACAGGACAACTAAATGCAATATCTGATTCTTGACTTAATTCTGTACCAGAGGGTAAAAATCCAAAATGGACATTGTTGAAGTCAATTAATTAAACTAGAATGTTGATGGTGGATTCAAAAAACAGTATTATAGCAATCTTGGATGGACTAAAGTTGATGAATTTACTGTGGTTATCTGAGAGTACTTCCAAAGAAAATAGACGTTGACGTATTTTAGGGTAAAGGGCCATTGCCTTAGTCTGTTCGGGCTGCGCTGAGAAAATACCATGGATTGGGTAGCTTATAAACAGCAGAAGTTTATTTCTCACAGTCCTGGAGACTGGAAGTCCAAGATGCAGGTGTCAGCATGGTCACTTTCTGGGGAGGACCCTTTTCCTGGTTCAGTGCCAACGCCTTCTCACTGTGTCCTCACAAGGTGGAAGGGGCTAAGAATCTCTCTGGCACCTCTTCCAGGAGGCACTACTCCCATTCGTGAGGGCTCTACCCTCATAACCTAAGCAACTCCCCAAAACCCCACCTACTAATACCATCAACTTTGTGAAGTAGGATTTCAATATATTAATTTGGGAGAACACAAACATTCAGATCATAGCAGCCATGATTTATGCAATGCACTCTCAAATGATTCAGAGAGAGAGAGAGAAAGAGAGAGAGAGAACAAAATGGTAAAGCAAAAGAGGCCAAATGACAATCTGGGCAAAGAGTACACAGGTATTCAGTTTACTATGTTTATCCTTTCAATTTTTCCATAAGTTTGAAATTAACTTCAAATTAAAAGTTAAAATATGGCTCTTTGCCAACTTTCATCGGAAGTTTCAGATAATGCTATTCCAATAATAATGTGATGCTTTGCTAGGGGAATCTTTCTTGGTATTTGAAATAATTGAGCTGACATTATTTGTGTAAAAAGCAAAAGAAAAAAGAAAGAAAGAAAGAAAGAAAGAAAGAAAGAAAGAAAGAAAGAAAGAAAGAAAGAAAGAAAGAAAGAAAGAAAGAAAGAAAGGGGATGGAGGGAGAGGGGGAAAAAAAACAAAGAAAGAAAAAAAAATGACAGAAAAAAGGAAGTAAGAGGAAGGAAGGAAAGAAGGAAGGCAGACAGACAGAAAGAAAGAAAGAAAGAACTAAGCATTTCATGGCAGATATACATTTGTAACGAAGAGTAACTCTAAAATGACCCCATAGTTTCTGTTCATGCATATATTTGTCTTATAAATTGCAAAAAAAGAAAAAGAAAAGGAAAATCATAATCAAACGAACAAGTGGAATTCTAACTGTTGCCAAAGCGGAGAATTCATAAAGGAAGTAGTCATGATGGATGTGAAATTCGGCTTTGGGATAGACTTCTTAAATTGTGAGATACATAGAAAGAGAAGCTGATAGAAAAATCATCCTTTTTCTACTGCCAGAATAGTGTCTTAACAAGTCCTGGAGTGTCAAATGCAGGCTGAATTACTTTTTAAAAACAAGCAATAAAAGGGATGAAAATTACAGGAGAATTTGGACTAAACTAATTTTCCAATTCTTGTAACTCTAACAACAGATAATTTTATGACGCCGTGTATGTAAAATTATTTTACTCTTTGCCACTGCTTTGAAAAACAGCTTTTAATAGCATTTTCCTGTACAAACTGGTAACCCCTGATCTGTTTACTCTGCGTACGCTCTTTGGTTTTCTCGAGCCTGACTGACAATGCAGTTTTCTTGCTGAAGGTGGCGCTGTGCTTGAGCGCTGTCCTAGATGATGTGAGCTTGTGAAAAAAGGAGGGGCATGGCAGTGGAGAGGCAGCAGAGAGAGCACAGCTTCAAAGCATAAGGAGAGAACAGTCTGTTTAAGAAGCAATCCGTACCATCGCTGATGGTACAGATGAGGAACGAGGTCATGACCGGCCTCTACGCCATGCAAAGGTGTTGAAATTAAAATGGCACGACCTTCTGCCCTTATATCCTAATCTAGTAATGAATATGTCATCCACATAGTCATAAGTCCATCACCTTTTATTTCCCATCCTCTCACCTTCTTTCTTTTATCTGAAATGTTTCCTCCTTCGCTCTCTTTTTATTCTTAAATTTGCTTTCGTAACTGATACAGGTGTTTCCACAGCATAGAAATTAGATTAATGGAAACCCCTTTGAGTGCTGGTCTCTAACTGACCTAGAAATATTGCCCTAACTACCTGAGAGGTATAGTAATAAAAGATTTTTATGCTGGCCAGAAAATAATAAAACACAATACTGAAGGTCCAGTGTAAGATGTTGGCATTCTACTGGCTTTTTGGGGAGTAGATATGAGAAGTGGCTGTTGGAAAATATTTTCTCTATATTGATAATTGGTTTTTGAAGTTCATCTTAGTCGAGGAGAATGTGTAAGAAATGACTATTGAGGTCAAAGGTTTTTTCTAACAATTAGTGTCGCTCCCTCCCACAAGTCATTTTTTAATTCACTTTTCAAAAACCATAGATAATAGCTTTTCTCTATCAAAATATAAAAAGAAAAGTACAAATTCCATCATAAATTCTTGGCGATCCCCCTTATATTATTTCCGAAGGAGAGAAAGAATATACTATGTCCAGGTTCTGATTTACAATAGAGTCTGGGGTAGAAAAGCCAGCAGGGCTTGAAAACACACAAAACCATTTTTAGTCTTGGTAAGTCTCGCTACAACTCGTTAAATAAACCAGCCGCAATGCAAATTGACATACTTTTTCAGTGACAAAGTGGAACTCCCCAGAAAAGCTCTCTCCTAAAAGAAGTCGGTGTGCTTTTAGGTGAGCCCTGTCCACATCTGGACCATAGGGGTGATGTTCCAGACACGGTAAGTGGAACAGGAGCGGAGGGAAACAATGAAAATGATTTGTACATTTGGAAACATACTTTTAGGAAGAATACTAACAAATGGTGCTCATAAAATGATAAAAGAAATGGTCGAGAAGTGATTTTTGTACAATCTTTAATTTATGAAACAATAAGAGAGGAAAGTGGGCAGCCATTTCTCCTAAGGGAAAGGCAGTAAGGAACATGTAAAAGCCATAGGAATAGTATAGGATTGTATTAGGACAAATTGCACACCAGGTATCACAAGGACCCTGCCCAGGAGGTTCTCTGGACTTCTTTTGTTATTTTTAAGAAACAGTCAACTTTTTTTGGTGAATGAACTACTTTTATTCTTGTTGAGAAGCAAAAAGATAAACCAGCTAGCCCCTCAGGGTTCCTGGGGTTATTTATCCTTTTCAATCACAGAATCTCAAAGATGAGAGGGAGCCTTGGAGATCAACTGCTTTATAAATGAGGACACCAGTTTAAACAATCATCCAAAGTGTCATGCAGGTGATAAGTGGCAAAGTTGAAACAGCAACCCAGTCCTGTCAACCACCAATCCACAGTTACATCCTCCCCACACAAAACCACATCCTTAGTCTACTTACACCAAATACACAGAAAGTTAAACTCCACCCCATTTCTAGATCCTGCAGCCCACAGCAGGGCTGAATAGCATTCCCATTAGCTCCACAGCTTCTCTACATGGTTGGGCCCCACAGAGAACAGGCACTAGGAGCCTCATCCGAGTCTTGAGTCCAGCTAAAACCCAAAGAAACTAGAAGTTTTGCTGAGGTGGAAGCTAGCCCATCTCAATGCCCCCGGGGTCACATGACTTATTTCCAGGAAGCAACACTGCATCTCACTTTTGACAGAATGTCTTCCTATTTGCCTTTGTAGGTTTCACAGCGGCAGCCTCCCTCGTGTCTTTGGCTTGGGCCTTGGCCTCTTACCAGAAGGCCCTCCGGGACTCTCGAGATGACAAGAAGCCCATCAGCTACATGGCTGTCGTCATCCAGTTCTGCTGGCATTTCTTCACCATCGCTGCCAGGGTCATCACCTTTGCCCTCTTTGCCTCAGTTTTCCAGCTGTACTTTGGGATTTTCATCGTCCTTCACTGGTGCATCATGACCTTCTGGATCGTCCACTGTGAGACAGAATTCTGTATCACCAAATGGGAAGAGATTGTATTCGACATGGTGGTGGGGATCATCTACATCTTCAGCTGGTTCAATGTCAAGGAAGGCAGGACACGCTGCAGGCTCTTTATTTACTATTTTGTGATCCTTTTGGAAAATACAGCCTTGAGTGCCCTCTGGTACCTCTACAAGGCCCCCCAGATTGCAGATGCATTTGCCATCCCGGCCCTGTGTGTGGTGTTCAGCAGCTTTTTAACTGGCGTCGTTTTTATGCTGATGTATTATGCCTTCTTTCACCCCAATGGACCCAGATTTGGGCAGTCACCAAGTTGTGCTTGTGAGGACCCAGCCGCTGCCTTCACTCTGCCTCCTGAAGTGGCCACGAGCACTCTCCGGTCCATCTCCAACAACCGCAGTGTTGCCAGCGACCGTGACCAGAAATTTGCAGAGAGGGACGGCTGCGTACCTGTCTTTCAAGTGAGGCCCACAGCCCCATCCACCCCATCATCTCGCCCACCACGGATTGAAGAATCTGTCATTAAAATCGACCTGTTCAGAAACAGGTACCCAGCGTGGGAGAGACACGTTTTGGACCGGAGCCTCCGAAAGGCCATTTTAGCCTTTGAATGCTCCCCGTCTCCTCCGAGGCTGCAGTACAAAGACGACGCCCTTATTCAGGAGCGGCTGGAGTACGAAACCACTTTATGAAATAAAGGGCCTTGGAGGAGCCACGACCTCCAGGTGAGGGGTGACAGCAGGGCTGTGGCAATAACGAAACTTCACCCGAGAGCAGGGCGGCGAGCTGTCTTGCTCTCAGTCTGATCATCATCACGACCATCGTCTGACGCTCCATCCGCGGACGGCCTGCTGCTGGTCTCCTTTCAGAGCAGCAGCCCCGAGAGTCTCCCGTTCCACCTGTAGGGGACGTGCCAGCGTAGCAGACTCCTTGATGCGCCCAACTCCTCCTGCGCTGTCTTTCAGAGAGTCTGCCAGAGGGTACTATGATTATGGAAAATGTTGCCTCCGATCAATAGGGTGTTCTGACGGAATTAACTGCTCTGTGCATAAAATATATCCAGTCATACACACACAGACACACACGTACACGTACACTAAGACACACACCACCAGTCCTCTGTCGAAATAGCTTAGGTGATCTTTCTTGATGCAAAGCTCTGATTCCCACAGGAATATAAAAAACAAAGAGAGAGAGAATATATTCCTCAAGACTTCAGAAAAAAAATAACAGTACTGCTTAGAAAAGAACTCATAAATCATTCTCATTTGGAAACCAATACCTTGCGTGAAAAGCCTATCCAGCGGACAGCAAGCTCAAGTGTGTTTACACGTGTATTAGAGTTGATAAAATGGTTTGTTTTCAACACATTTCAGGACTTGTTTTTTTATTTTAAATTTTCAGTTGAGAACATCTCTCATGACAGAAATCCTATGCAGCACATGGATGGCTTTTGGCAAGACCAAGGAGCTCCATAACTTAGTGATGTAAATTAAATGGTAATCATGATTCAGTATTCAATCACAAAAATTTCATAAATACAGGAAGAGGAAATGGGGGGAGGAGGGGCAAGGCAGAATGAGCGCCGAATCTCCCGGCGCGTGCAGCTCACCCTGGCCGGTAAGAGCAGAGCGGCGGGAGAGGACCGGGCCATGACTGGATGTTTCAAGTCACGGAATGTGCGTGGCTCTGTGTGATCGCAGGCAGGCACGATTCCAGAACACGCCATGCCCCCATCTTTCTAGTGCCAAACATCGTTCAACCACGGGACTGACATGGAAGCCCTGAACAACTGAGAATGAGTGGCCGTGAGCCCCTGAAAGCAGAAGCTAGAATGAACAATCAAGTTCTCCATTGTGTACAGACTCTCCCACCACCTCCAATTCAAGGTCAAAGTGATGTGTCTTTTAAAGGCTTTGGGACACTTTTTAGTAAGTATGAGCAGACAAATGCAGTGAATATGCTATGAAAAACCCTTCTGAACTGATTGAGGGCTTATCACTAGATCCAGCTAAGATTTGTATTTGAATCATTTGTAAAGTCACACTCTTACAACAAGCTTCTGGTTTTAAATACCTCCGTACAGCAAGTAAACATTCCCCGCTTTCTGTTCCCAGTGTCCTCGGTCATGGTGCTTTTTGTTGCATTAAAAGTGCCGGTCAAACTTTGATAGTATTTTTTTATAGTTGGTGCAGAGTGGAATAACTCATGGATTATTTCAATATTTTTGTAATAAAAAATATAGGGTATACATATAGGCATCATCACTTTTTTTACAGACCTGGAATCGTTTAAAATACTTTAAGCATCATAATTACTTGGGATGTCAGAAACTGGTCCACAAATTCCATCAGCCTGCCTCAGCAGATTGAGAACACTTGTCTCTTGCAAGATCACCCTTCTTTGTAATGTCGGTGCCCCCAGGAACCTGGCCAGGGGTGCTATCAGAATATCAGGTGACAAGAGAATCAGCTTAACTAGAAAGGGCTTGTCAAGACTGGCCATTGTTTCCCAGGAAATCAAAGATGTAAATGATTACTTTCATCCATCCATTACGATAAACCTGACCACAGTGGAAGATGTCTTAAATTTCCTTCCCTGGTTTTATATTAACCCAACTGACATATTAAATATTAGTCAAGTCACACACACACACACACACACACACACACACTCACACACACACACACACATATAAAAGAGTCAGTTTAACTTAATTATTCGGTTATTGGGACTGTCCAATTCACTTAAAATAGTCAAGTTCTATAGCCACCACCTCTAATGGGTGTGCCATACAGAGACTGCTGTTCCCATGATGACATCCACAGGAAATGACAGAGCACTCAACCTAGGACTTCTTTTGGTACAAAAGAAGCAATGTTTAAAAAATAGATGTCAGTAGACGTACTTTTCTAGTACGCCATGATTTGATCCTCCAAGCAAGATTTCACTAAAATATAACCTTTTGTTCGGATATGAAAAGATTATCTAGTCACCAGTAAAGGCCCAGGAAGATATTCTTCTTGTCAGCAATTGTAGAAGGAAAACATGATTGTGCTGCCAAATTCTTCACTTTTGTGCAGAGCCATGAGTTTTTAGCTTCATTATTTCTGAGACAACTTTTAATTGATGATCTTTGAATTGCTCAGTTGAACTATACCTTTCATTCCATGGGCAAATAACAGATAACAATTTAATAGTGTCAATCAACACAAACGCAACAAGCCCCATCACTCTTCAATCACGTAAGTCCTAAATTATTTCTCAACTTGATCCCTCGTTTAACATGTGAAGAGTCAAAACGAGTACTATGTGAATTAAAAAAAATGTACTGTATTTTGTTTTGGAGATGAGAATGCAGTCAGGATGGTGTACAAAGTTTGAATTTTTTTAATGATTTCCCAAATACTGTAAATACTCTGTTATCCAACATACTTGAAGATTTTGATGTTTTAGTTAGTCAAAAATTTGTGTTAAGGAAATGACATCTCTAACATTAATTAATTACAAATTTTCTCAAGATTATAAGAACAAAAAATTTACTTCCAAGGTAAATCATGACTTAATCTTGCTTCCGTGATTTTGAAAGCACTGCACTGACATCAGATTGTGTGGTAATAACAACTTTTATTAGTTTCTAGACACACAGATAACAGAGAGTTTAAAGTATTAGGATTTAAAGAGACATCGTCAATGTGCAAAAGGAACAAAGTTTGATTTTTGAATTATATTTTAATTATTCCTAAGATTTCATTTTCAATCTGCCATTAAGTCTTTCTCATAGAGTAACTGGGGATTCCAAAAGGAAGAAGCCACGGTTAGCATGCAAACCGGAAATGCTGAATTTTTAATCTGTGCTCTCCGACTTCCTGTGCATGAGTTTATTGAATTCCTTTAAGAGGAGAGATCTGCTCTTTATACTCACTTTTTGCATAGGATAATGAAATTTTCTAAAAGAAAATATTATAAAATTTATAATTATTACTTTCAAATTAGCATTTCTAAATGAAACCATATTTGAGATTAAGAACATATATATCTTAACCACACTGAAACTTTAAGCATTTGTGTGGAAGAAAAAAATCTTTTTCTTGTAAGTCAAAGTTTGGTCCCCCAAAATGACTATGTCCTTTAAATTCTCTTCTCACATCTACATTATCTCTTACTCAACTATGTGTTGTCTAATTCAGTAACATGGACTTTGCAGACATTAGGTTACTATTCATTTATGATAATGCTGTGAATCTAACAAATGAAATAACTTTTCTTACTGACATGGAAAGAATATTTAGTTCGATTATTAGCAAAATATAAAATATAAAGATAATCTGAAGATAAAGTATGATGACGTTTTTATGCTTAATTTCTAAATGCCCAATTTATTTTGATCTATGAATAAATAAAATGATAGCACTGACCAATTAAAAGTGAATGGAAATAATTGAAATCTCAATGACTGTTTTTAAAAAATATTATATAAATGTGTGTATGTTATATATCATACACACACACAATAAAGTAATAGATGAAATGGGTAAAGTATATGCTCCCTTTCATGCATAAGATTGGTATGTTATTGACACATAAACTTTTAGATGAAAAGCTTTTTCCTCCTTCTTTTTCAACCTCAGCTCGAGCTTACAGTACCTGTCTATAAGACGTCAACACACCTGTGAACTTCGGCTGGAAATACCTAGATATAATTTAACACTTTTAGCTTGAATGAGCTTTATCACTCCTTAAGCATCTCATCTTTTAAGCAGCTGAAGGGAATAGTTTTGAGTCATTTCAAAGTTTCCTTCTCTGAATTAACTGAATTGAGCAAAGAAAACCTCTGATGTCCTTACCAGGATTGTGTAAGGTTACACATCTGCCTTTAAATGTACCAAATGCCGTTGAGTGGAAAGGAGTTCTGACACAATGTTTAGACAAGAATCCAGAGATATCTTTTCTAATGAACCATTTTCTAGACTAAATATGTGCTCCCCTGCATTCTCGCACATCTTCCCCATTAGCCATTACTGTTGCTATATAAAGCCTGGATGACATGCCTGCGTTTTTATGTTTCTGAGGAGAATTCCTTAAAGCCTTTTTAAAAATAGCTCAGATTGCCTTTCAGAAACATAGCTCAGAGGATGGTTGAAGTTCATGGTGAAAATACAGCAGGACTGAAGCGGTTGTTTCTATAATTTCAGTGATGGATGCAAATCAACTCATGTTCATTTATCTTCAGCAATCCAATGTCACTTTTGAAAACAATCAAAATGATTGCTTCTGCCAGCTTGTGACTCATAACACCCCTCTCTCCATCTGAAGCTGGAACATTTCAAAATGGCTAAAGCCAAGCTATTTCCCTCTACTGCTGACCTCATCCCTTCCCCCCCACTCCCATTTCCAAGTCTCTGGCCCTTCTCTGTCTCAGGCCGTGAACTGATCTTACAGTTGGGCTGCATCTCCCCACTCAGGCAGACTATACTGTCCACTGCAGTGTTCTCTCTGTAGACAGGAGTCTTGCCCAGTTGCTATTCTAAAAAGGGGCACATGGAAAGATTCAATACGTGCCTGTGTCAACAGCCTCAACAGTATAATTACTCACACTTAGAAGTAAAACTCTGTGGAATGTGGGTGGAAATGTATAAAAACATGATGAGCCATTTAATTTTGCAAATTGTAGCAATTAGGCTAGCTGCACACAACCTGCTCTCACAACAGAAAGCCAAACGGAAGAAGTGGCAAACAGCCATTTGGCCCGCAGAAATGAGGGGTTCAGAAACTCTCCCTTGAGTGTTTGAAGCATCATGTTGTTTCACCATCCATCTGAAGCTCTTTCTCTAGACTCCACAAGAAAAAAAAAAATTAGGCTTTTGTTATATTGTATGCAATGGTCTAGCCCAGAAATGGAAAACCTTCCGTCAACCTTGTGTGGCTCATGTTCTGCTAAATAAGAGCCAATTTAATGTCCCTGAAGGGTCTAATTGTTTTGCTAAAAATATTTTACTGATATAAATATATACTAACATAATATGTCAAAAACACTGGCTAAATAAAATTTTCGCCTGTTTTTTTCCCCTTAGATTTTCTTTCAGTTTAGTTCCCCACAGTGAGAGAAGTTTTCCATTATAGAGAGCTTATCATGCGCCTAATGCTGTGCTAACAAGCTTTATGTATATGATCTCATTTAAACCCCACAACCACCTATGAGATGAGTACCATTTACAGATGACAAGACCAAAGCCCAGATATTAACCAATGGCCAAGGTCCCATAACTAGGAAATAGTGGATCTGAGAGTCAAACAAAACTTGTAACAACTTTTAACAACCACAAGACCAAAGACAATTTTCCCACCAAAATCTATTCCTGATTTGGCAAGATTTTAGAAGGAAAAAAATCATGTCTGACAAATTTTTCAAAGAAAAATTCATTTAAAAGTCAACTATAATTGAAAAATAAAAATTAAAAAAGTCAGATGAATTTCAAAATGAGAAGTTAAAAATAAAAAAGTCAATGATGAGAAACGGAAGTCCCTATCACCTGTAACTGAATTTTACTTCAACTCCCTAATTCATAGTAGGCAGATAAATGCTACTCCTCCATCCCAGACAACTGTCCCCCTTCATGGCCCTACTTTACACTAAAGTAAGTGATAAATATACATTAACCTGATTGTTCTTCCCTTGTGTTCTATACATGTATGCTATTGTCATACAGTGAGGCAGACATACAAATAATTAAACCCCACTACTTATTTTGACACCGTGACGAGAGAGAGAGAGGGAGAGAGGGAGAGGGAGAGAAAGAGGACAGATCAACAAATCATTGAAGTGACATTACTTTATTCCATTGCCATAGTTTTCCCCTAAATTTTATTTATTTAATGTCTTGCAGGACACAAAATTCAACATTTAAAAGGATTTTTATTTTTATACCATTAGCTTGACCCATCGTATAACTCTAGGAAACTTATCTTAGATTGAAAGGTTAGAGGTAGAGAATATAATAAATGTATGTCAAATATTCATTGAATTGATTATAAAATATTTTGCCATCTCCCTCCTCATCTTAGATGTAACGTGTCTGCATTCTACAGGAAGACAGAGTTAGAACCCATTCAATGATGTTGTATAGTAAGTTGTGTGTGGTGTTGTTTGAACTGATGCTGGAAAGGTAGCCAATAAAAAAAAAAAAAAATTTACTCCTCAACCCTGATGGTGATCAATCTGAATTTAACATATTAAAAATACAATCAACTATCTTCCTACTTTGATAATATTTAAGCAAATTTTCATGAATTTATATTAAATTAGAAGTCACTAATTTCTACTGAAAATAGCATCTAAAAGAGATCCAAGTGTTACTTCAGAACACTTCTTTTATAGATGAAGCTGAGCTTCAAAGAGATCAGGTAGTTTTTGCAATCAGGATTCCTTCAGTCACTTATTCAAACAAAAAGCATGATCTGTATGACTAAATGTATTGCCGGGTTATTCACGGTCAAGTGCAAAAGGAATCGTGCATTCCAACAACTCACATTTACTTATTAGTCGCAGAATAAGAGTCTTCAGGACTTCAACTATATCTCTTTTCTTCTCTACCACACTGCTTCTCTTTTTAATATCTATATTTAATTTTATAATAGATCAATAAAGAAACATAAGCTTTTCCAAGATTGTATTATATAAACCTCACTATAAATACTTGCCACACGTGATGACAAACATAAAGTAATGGTATAAATCAAAGATAAATCAGCAATGGATGACCGCCTATAAAAAGAAAAGTAATTTTAACATTTCCTTTTATGCCATTCCAAAACTAGATATTTTTAAATCAAGGTCACAAAGCAACGACAACAAAAAAAATGAGAATACTCTGGGCACATAGTATTTGACTCAAAACAATCATCTCTCAATAAACTTTGGAGATATTCCTGAGAATTTCTTTTAAGAAGAGGCATGATATTAAGATTCCTCTAAAATATCTGAAGAATTTTCAATAGGCTCTTTTTCTGGTTTTCAGGAAACATCCCTCATATGATATATCTCCCGCATACCAATTATTTAGAATTAACAAATCTCCAGACAGAAACCTCAGTTATTACAACCTGAGAACTTGTGCTAAAGCCATATTTCTGCTGCCCAGAAGAGCAGCCATGTGTCACGTTACCGTCTGGAGTCAAGACAGTCAGACCCACATCATGTGGGTGCTCATGCTGGTGTGATACCCAGTCCGAGTCCCTCCTGCAATACAGCCCAGAGTGATTGGCTTCCCACAGGTTTAAGGAGTTTATTGTTTCAAGATAACTAGTAGCTTGCATAACTAATTTTCTCTCAGTGAAATAATTCCAGTCAGGGATGCATAAATCTGTAGGTCCTCTATGGAAGAAAAGGAAAGAAATAAAGCATGTTAATTTTTACAAGCACAGAATAATTCAAAGAATTCCTTGGTGAATCCCATTAAGTATCAACGGAACAGTTGACTTAATCGCTGTGCAAAGTCTGAGGCACGATTTCTAGATTTATGCCACCGTCAGTCATTCACTACCCCGATTACTGCTGCTGTTTAGCCATCGAACAAGACAGAAAGAGTATAGTTACTGACATGATGTTTGCAGAGCAAAGATCATGTTTAACAAAACAGATCAACATCAAAACTAACTAATCAACTTGATAAGCAAATATTACCAGCATGGCGCTAACACAAAACGTTCTCTTGTTATTGAAGCTCGTCATCTACTCTTACTAGAATTTCAGAAAATGTGAGGTTTCATGTTTTTACTATACTTCCATCTACCAAATTAAGCTGGTGGCCCTCTTCTATCTCTATTGCTTGATTTGCATTAAAATGGAACTAATTAAATGCTTATTTCATTTAAGTGCTACAGATATTAACAAATGGAGATGTTTAACTGTTCTGTGGCATTCCGGCATGGAGTTGTATCAAATCAACACTCAATTATTTCAAATTAATTCATTCATCAGTAAGCGCTAAAATACCCCTAAGTGTGCTAAAAATATATTTTAGGTTTCTATTATTTTAAGAAATTCCTATTTTGATTACAAACCAGTAGAACATTTCAATCCATTGTGATTCTGGAAAAATGAACTCTTCTGTACAGCTGCATTAACTCAGCTAATTAACCTATTAACCTGCTACCTGTGGCTTTCTTTCCAGCCCACTATTACTTATTCTCTTCAAGTTGGGAGCAATAGCACATCATCCTATAACCAAAAGAGATCGGTCAGTTCGTCAAAGAATTGTCATTTTAGATCCTCCTTTGACAAAACTAAAATATTCAATTCTCCCTATTAACCTTTCTAATGTATTGTACATAGAAAAGGAAATGGATCTCTGAAGTATGTTTTGAAAGCCTGGGGTAAAACATTTTCCTTGGCCTGAATCAGAGGCTTGGTACTCTGTGAAA